GGGGGGGGCAACTTGCCCCGCCACGGGTCGGGACCACTTGGCACCCTATACGAAAATGAAGTAAGTATCCCATGTAAACGCCTTGAAAAACATTTTTATGCATTTCAAACGTATTAAATTGATTTTCGAGTCTTTGATGACTACATACTTCAAATAAGGGAGATTTATTGAGGTTTCCGTCCGTCACGTTGAATGTGTTGCAAGAACCAAAATATCTATCAATAAAATTTGTTTTGTTTTAATTGAGAATAAATAAATAATGGTATAAGGCAGGTTTTTGAATGAAAACGAATAATGAATTGTCGTTAAAAAAAACAAATTCGGTTTTAAACTGGTATTTTTTTTTTGTTTCAACAATGGCCTGTAGCTCGATCTGTTGCACGCACAGGATTGTGGTCAATAGGGGCCTTTGGGGGTCCAACTTGCCCCGAGTCATGGGGGCCGACTAGCCCCAGGTCCACAATTTTTAGATTTAAGGATTGCAGCCGTTTATGGTGCAAGAATGGACTACGTTTATACATTTTTTGTAAAATTTCAAACAATAAGCTTTAGTTTGATGTCCTATACGTTGTTATGAACCTTTACATATATAGGCCTACATATGAGATGAATGTCCTAAACTTATATAATTTTGTACGCTTAATTCAAGCGTGGGCTCGAAAGAGGACATTACGTTTTAGACTTAGTGGATAACGCAATCCAAAGATTCCACGGTTCGTGTCAGATTTACGTAAGATCGCGCAAATAAAAACCAAGTCCACATAATGACCAGTTTAATGGTGTATTGGTTGACTCTCTCTAACTACAGTACATCATCTACGTGAAGCCTCCAACTTCTAAGCCGTCTCCCATGGCTCTGTCGAGCGGTCACCTTCGAGTCTTCTTCAGTCTGAACTCCCGATATTAACTCTGCACGTCTTTTATACAATATTTCTTATCACATGGTGGATTCTATGCTGCATTATTTGACGGTAGGTCCTACATTTAAAGGGATAATAACTCTTCGTATGAAGTCTATATTTCACAACAGAAACATCGTGAACAACTCATAGAAATAAAATATATTCTGTTTTACGACAAAAACAGCAGTTATAGCTATTATTCTGATATTTGAACTTGTCTTCAGACCACGTCACCTCCATTGATGGCTATACTCTGTTATAATCTCTTAAGAGAATTTAACAAAAAACCAAACTTTTTAGAAAAAACCAGGGACTAACTTTGAATGTAAAAATGGATTCATTAACCATTGGTAAGTATGGGAAAATTGTTTTTTACTCCAGGAAAATTCATTTTTTGGCAAAAACGAAGAGTTATTATCCCTTTAATTATTCAAATTGCACACGTCCACTTAAGTTACATGATTACAGGTAAGGTCATAAACGAGTCGAGTGCACAAGCAATCGACTCTAATCAAATTAATTAACACGCCTGGGAATCATATTTGTGAACTCTACAACGTAGGCCCTATAGGGCCTACTTTACTCTATCAAAACCCTATGAAAATAGATTTTTAAATCTCTTAAACAAAATTAGGCCTACTTTTAGGTGCAAAAATCGCTTATTTGGACTCACCGCTTAAGTAAAACTTTTTAGCGTCCGACACTTCCTTAGCATTGCAGGCTACGGTCACTTTACAAGAGAATGTGGCCAATTCTTAAACCTCGAAGTTAGGCCTACTTTTCCATAAACTGACGGGGGGTCAACTAACTCGATCCGGTCGCCGGCCCTAAACTCACATCTCATGTCACATCCCCTTTATTCGCAGTCTAATTTTTGTTGGCATTAAAAAAGTGCAATTATTTTCTGAAGGGTTGTTATTTTTAAAACTTTCGTTACTCAAACCTCTGTTAGGCCCTAGCCTACTAAAGGCGAAAACTGTGCACACAAAATGTAGGCCTAATATGGCATGAATCAGAAAATGTTTGCAAATGAAAACTAGATTAATCACTTTTGGCACCAGAGTTTAAGAAAAAGTAGAATCCGCAAATATATCTATAACTTCATTTTTCAGTTTTCTTCAAATGGACCTACATGTAGGCCTATATATAGGCCTATGTTTAGGCCTACATCCATGATCTGGGGTACCGTAGGAATCTGACCGAGTGTTGCCTGAAGTCTCTCATGAATCCTTTTCTTGTTAATATTTTAGTAACTCTTTAGGAAATAATTATAGGCTAAACGAAGTGTTTAATTGTTATTGGGAATAGGCAACTTGGTTTACAGATGGTGATTTCCTCAATGTTTTATGTGTAATAGGCCTACCCTGTTGATAAAGGGCTTCAAAAGGGGAAATTGCTGAAGGCGCGGTACGTGTGCGCACGTACCGTCTGCCGCAGTTATTATTATTTGGACATTTTCGCTGAGGCATAGAGGCAGTACAGAGATTAGCCATCTATTTAACCAGAGACATNGCCACTTGGCACCCTATACGAAAATGAAGTAAGTATCCCATGTAAACGCCTTGAAATACATTTTTATGCATTTCAAATGTATTAAATTGATTTTCGAGTCTTTGATGACTACATACTTCAAATAAGGGAGATTTATTGAGGTTTCCGTCCGTCACGTTGAATGTGTTGCAAGAACCAAAATATCTATCAATAAAATTTGTTTTGTTTTAATTGAGAATAAATAAATAATAGCATAAGGCAGGTTTTTGAATGAAAACGAATAATGAATTGTCGTTAAAAAAAACAAATTCGGTTTTAAACTGGTAATTTTTTTTTTGTTTCAACAATGGCCTGTAGCTCGATCTGTTGCACGCACAGGATTGTGGTCAATAGGGGCCTTTGGGGGTCCAACTTGCCCCGAGTCATGGGGGCCGACTAGCCCCAGGTCCACAATTTTTAGATTTAAGGATTGCAGCCGTTTATGGTGCAAGAATGGACTACGTTAATACATTTTTTGTAAAATTTCAAACAATAAGCTTTAGTTTGATGCCCTATACGTTGTTATGAACCTTTACATATATAGGCCTACATATGAGATGAATGTCCTAAACTTATATAATTTTGTACGCTTAATTCAAGCGTGGGCTCGAAAGAGGACATTACGTTTTAGACTTAGTGGATAACGCAATCCAAAGATTCCACGGTTCGTGTCAGATTTACGTAAGATCGCGCAAAGAAAAACCAAGTCTACATAATGACCAGTTTAATGGTGTATTGGTTGACTCTCTCTAACTACAGTACATCATCTACGTGAAGCCTCCAACTTCTATGCCGTCTCCCATGGCTCTGTCGAGCGGTCACCTTCGAGTCTTCTTCAGTCTGAACTCCCGATATTAATTCTGCACGTCTTTTATACAATATTTCTTATCACATGGTGGATTCTATGCTGCATTATTTGACGGTAGGGCCTACATTTAATTATTCAAATTGCACACGTCCACTTAAGTTAGGCATGATTACAGGTAAGGTCATAAACGAGTCGAGTGCACAAGCAATCGACTCTAATCAAATTAATTAACACGCCTGGGAATCATATTTGTGAACTCTACAACGTATAGGGCCTACTTTACTCTATCAAAAGCCTATGAAAATAGATTTTTAAATCTCTTAAACAAAATTAGGCCTACTTTTAGGTGCAAAAATCGCTTATTTGGACTCACCGCTTAAGTAAAACTTTTTAGCGTCCGACACTTCCTTAGCATTGCAGGCTACGGTCACTTTACAAGAGAATGTGGCCATTTCTTAAACCTCGAAGTTAGGCCTACTTTTCCATAAACTGACGGGGGGTCAACTAACTCGATCCGGTCGCCGGCCCTAAACTCACGTAGGCCCTACATCTCATGTCACATCCCCTTTATCGCAGTCTAATTTTTGTTGGCATTAAAAAAGTGCAATTATTTTCTGAAGGGTTGTTATTTTTAAAACTTTCGTTACTCAAACCTCTGTTAGGCCCTAGCCTACTAAAGGCGAAAACTGTGCACACAAAATGTAGGCCTAATATGGCATGAATCAGAAAATGTTTGCAAATGAAAACTAGATTAATCACTTTTGGCACCAGAGTTTAAGAAAAAGTAGAATCCGCAAATATATCTATAACTTCATTTTTCAGTTTTCTTCAAATGGACCTACATGTAGGCCTATATATAGGCCTATGTTTAAGCCTACATCCATGATCTGGGGTACCGTAGGAATCTGACCGAGTGTTGCCTGAAGTCTCTCATGAATCCTTTTCTTGTTAATATTTTAGTAACTCTTTAGAAAATAATTATAGGCTAAACGAAGTGTTTAATTGTTATTGGGAATAGGCAACTTGGTTTACAGATGGTGATTTCCTCAATGTTTTATGTGTAATAGGCCTACCCTGTTGATAAAGGGCTTCAAAAGGGGAAATTGCTGAAGGCGCGGTACGTGTGCGCACGTACCGTCTGCCGCAGTTATTATTATTTGGACATTTTCGCTGAGGCATAGAGGCAGTACAGAGATTAGCCATCTATTTAACCAGAGATATCTGTGAATATCTAGTGAAAATACAATGTGACCCTGGTAGAGGGTACAGTGTGCGGGCGTTTTTTTTCTCTGTACTCTAGCTAGGAAAACCTCAAACTTCCGGTCGCAGTCTTCGCAGTCCTATCTTGAACACATCCGGGCCATTTCAAAATGGAAGAAATCGGAATCACGCCGCCGGTTGACAAAGTAAGGAATTCTTTATGAAATTAAATAGCACCATAAGCTTAAGTACCTCAAATTATTGTACTAAAATGAACGTACTATACAGTTCTTTTTTGTGTCAATGGATTTAGATGTGTTTTCCTCTAAATCGTTGAGTAACAGCGGACCAAACATCTATTAGAAAACGCTTGGTCACTCCGTGGCACTGGCACTGCCTTGGAAGGCTTTGTTTGTGGCAGTGATATTGTTATAATATACCTTTTCATATTCCCGGGCATATCGTTATTCATATAAGCCCCACATTTTGTTCGAATATCTGGAAGCCCACATTTTGGTAGATTCTAGGATCCTCGGATCTGATGAAAAAGGCCCCCACCATATAACTGATTTTGAATAGCTTTTTAGTTTAACTTATGTGGTGACTTTTAGAAATGACTCCAATAGTCAATAAATTAGTTTGGCAATTTCTTAACTTATCCGTTTGAGTAGCAGAGACGTTGATCAAAGTCACCACATACATTGTCTGTAACTAAATTAATTCATTAAAATGAAAAATTAGGGTAAGGAGAAAAACTACAAAAGTAGCAGAATGGAGGGGTGTTTCAAAATTTCAACTTAAGTGCTGGTTAAATCCCCCATCTTTAGTGTAAAATTAACTGTACCCTTTTATTTTTATATATTTAACTTCAGATTTACAGATATTTTTTTACAATTTTGTATTGCAGGAGGACACTGTTGTCAGCGATTCTCGGCCAACTACCTCACAGGCATTTGGGCATCTTGATCCACTTGCTACAGAGTTAGATGACCTTTTTGTCAAGTACAAGGTATGCTTGTTTAAGATGCATATGAAGCTAGGGCACATACCCATTAATATATATATATATATATATATATATATATATATATATATATATATATATATATATATATAAATTATCAGTACCAGTATCTTATACAACACAAATAAAACACACATACCTAGCAATCAAGTGAAATTTATCTCTTGTGGTGAAGAAAAAAAGATTTAAGCGATACAACTTCTTTAAACTTGTGGTCGCTTAAAATGGATCTTTAAGATGTATTTGCTATGTATTGTATTGTTGTTTGAAATTTTTATGACCTTAAAAACCTATTGAAGATAAATATAAATGCCAGAATTGTACTTTGAATATTCAACTACATACTGCATATAATTACATATCTAATGTAGATAAAACAGTAAATAATGAGCAATGCACTGTCAAAACAGTTAGCTTTTTTTTTTCAGATAATGGCACCCCTGTGGTGATAAATGTAACAGAAAAGTTTCAGTACTCTGAATAGATTTTTTACTCAGAAGCATTTGTTTTTAAAGGTTTTCTATATAGTTCTTCATGGAAGAAAGAGAAAGACGGAGAAAGAGAGTAATGAGTGTCCAACTGCTCCTGCTGTGGTTTTATAATAGTGCTACAGTGCTACTACTTCAATTTTGAGATGATTTTTATATATTTTTTCAGAAACTTCAAAGACAGTTGGAATTTCTGGAAGTTCAGGAGGAGTACATAAAGGATGAGCAGAAGAACCTGAAGAAGGAATACCTGCATGCCCAGGAGGAGGTGAAAAGGATTCAGAGTGTGCCTCTAGTTATAGGACAGTTCCTGGAGGCTGTGGACCAGAACACAGGCATTGTGGGGTCCACTACTGGTGAGTAATACTGCAACAATAATGCGATTAATGAAGGGTAGCAATATTTAAGACTGGTCATAAATCGTACAGCTTGCATGATCATGTGGTCATGTTACGGGATGACCTCAGTCTCTAAAATCGTGTCAATAATATTTATGCCTCGAAATGTGGAGAGTGTAAAGAGTGATTCAAACCTTTGTTATGCAGCAGTCATGTCTCCAAAAAGTGATTTTTATACCATTAAGTGTAATTATAACATAAGTGTCAACATCAGTGCTCTGTGCTGTTATGTAGAGCATGGTATTAATGCACAAAGAATAAGTTAATATACATGCATAAGCAGCATTTAATTCATTAATTCATTATTTCTACTCATATTATTATGTATAGTTATGCACATGTATATTATTATTATTATTATTATTAATATTATTATTATTTTGTATGCTGCATGTTCCATTTTTTCCACAGGTTCAAAATTGACGTGGTAGAATAGACTGATTGAGGGATATTCTTATTCTTTTTGACCCAGCAACATGTTAGCATATGTGTTAAACCATAAAATAAACAAACAGTACATTGCATTTGCATGCAATTTTGAATTGTTTCCCATTACAGGTTCCAACTACTATGTGCGTATCTTGTCTACCATTGACCGTGAACTTCTGAAGCCCAGCGCCAGTGTTGCCTTACACAAGCATAGCAATGCTTTAGTTGATGTCCTACCACCAGAGGCTGACAGTAGCATTACCATGTTACAGGCTGGTTAGTATACTTTGTCATCATTATTACGGTTTTATATAATGAGGAGTGGATATCTAAGCCTCGTAGTTGCTGCTTTTTGACATTGAAGTGCAAATTTTTATTCCATTTTTCTTTCAATTTCCTATACTTTGTTGGAATATATTATTATTGTTTTTTAATTTAGAAATGTTTGTTTGTAAAAAGTGCAGAGTGTAGGATATATAAAACAAACTTCAACGATTTTTTTCCTGGAGTAAACAGTATACTTCTTAAACATTTAGTCCTCATTTGCTGACACTAGGTATGTTTGAAATTCTACAATTCGTCACTTTAATTAATTTGTTTTTGAGCGAATTTTGAACTTTACCTGCCCCTGCAAACATTTTTATTTCTTATTGGCACATTAAACTTTTTTACCCTATCAATCACTTGTATAAGTTAAGTAAGTTTTAGGAAACTAAAAGTCAGAATCAGGAGGAATTAGTCGATACCACAGACTTTTTACTACAAAGGTTCTTGCCTCATTCCAGATGAGAAGCCCAATGTTGGCTATGCTGATATCGGTGGCCTGGACATCCAGAAGCAAGAAGTCCGTGAGGCGGTAGAGCTCCCTCTGACCCACTTTGACCTGTACAAGCAGATAGGTATAGACCCGCCCAGGGGAGTGCTGATGTTTGGTCCCCCAGGAACTGGCAAGACCATGCTGGCCAAAGCCGTGGCACACCACACCACTGGTGAGCTGGTTCAGTTTGGTTTAGAAAGAATGGCATTTATTTGGTTGTTTGTTTCTTTGTATTGTATTGTATTGTATTGTATTGTATTGTATTGTATTGTATTGTATTGTATTGTATTGTATTGTATTGTATTGTATTGTATTGAAGGTGGCTAAATATGATTATCTTTAAAAAGGGATTTTGTAGCGTGGAACACTTAATTGTTTGATTATTTATTTGATATGTAATGTTTTTTTCAATAAGTGGTGGCTATTACTTTCTCTCCACCTCATTTGATATGCTGTTCCAAGAGGAAAATGAAACCTTGGGTATTGAATCAGTGCCCTTAATCTAAGAATGTGTACACTTTAAATAATCTTTTTAAAATTTGGGATATTGTGTTATCAAATATTTTGTGAATCCCAATATGTACTTATTTTAAATTGAAAATGTTTTTCTTCGATAGCGGCTTTCATCAGAGTAGTTGGGTCAGAGTTTGTACAGAAGTACTTGGGAGAGGGGCCCAGGATGGTGCGTGACGTTTTTCGTCTGGCCAAGGAGAACTCCCCTGCCATCATCTTCATTGATGAAATTGATGCCATAGCAACCAAGAGATTTGATGCGCAGACTGGAGGTATATTTTAGTGTTTTTTAAGTATGATGTTTTATATGAGATAAGTTTTTGATGCAAAGTTTCTGTATTTATAGGAGAACATAACTGTCACATTTTTTCAGTCTGTATTTTTTAAATATGGATTCTGCAAATTTTAAAGAAGAAGTTTTACTAATGTCTTGTAGATTTTGATGAAAACTCAAATGTACTTCCAGATAAGTCTCGTGCACTAGTTCACTGATGTAAAAAACTTTTTTCTTGAAGTGATTGTATAAGATATTACAATAATTGCATTCCTGAATAAACTGTACATGAAGACAATTGCGAATTTTACTTCAGCTGACAGAGAAGTGCAGAGAATCTTGCTGGAACTTCTTAACCAGATGGATGGTTTTGATCAGACTGTCAATGTGAAGGTCAGTTTGAAGGAAACATAAAAGCCTTATTGTTGACAAATAATCCTCTGAATTACTGGTATAGTACATTTGTAGTGATCCATTCTATATACAGTATGTACCAGGATTTAATTCCTGATTCCATTATGTATTACAATAAGAAATATTATAATTTATCAAAAAATATAAATTATTTTCAATTCATACCATTATATCCTCTGAATAAAGGTTTTTGGTGGCTTGTTGGTTTTGCCTAAATTGACAGTGATGGTGTTCAGTTCTGTTATATATTAGTGGGCTTTGAAGCTGGCACAACTTTTTTATGATACGTGTATTTAGTATTGGCCTAGATGTAATTGAGAATAATTAAGAAAAAAATATAAAAACTATTGTGTAACAGGTCATCATAGGTATAGCTGACTTAGACACAACTGAGAATCTTTCATTCCCTGAATATGATAAACATCAAAAATCAAAGGACACAGTCAAATGTTTATATTGGCACATAAAACACCTTTGTAATTTATATCCTTAGTTTTCAAAGTGGAATCTTGATATTTATAAATCTACCGTGATAAATGAATTATGTAGATCTAATATTAAAAAAATTATTGCACCAACAGGTCATCATGGCTACCAATCGTGCAGACACTCTGGATCCCGCCCTGCTGCGCCCCGGTCGCCTTGACAGGAAGATCGAATTCCCAATGCCGGACAGACGCCAGAAACGTCTCATCTTCTCCACCATCACTGGAAACATGAACCTCAGCGAGGAGGTGGACCTGGAGGACTACGTGGCCAGGCCTGATAAAATTAGTGGAGCTGATATTAATGCCATTTGTCAAGAGGTATGTGCCGGATTTATTCAATAAGCAAATATTTTATCAAAATTTTTATATTATATTTGAAAGATAACTGCAGTAATAGTTATTTGTCAGTAATGCAGTTAGTACTTCAAAACACTAATTTTGTGATTCTTAAATGCAAATGCAAAGATCATTATGTTTTCATAAAGGGTTGAATGAATCAGATGTTATTTCAAGCAATTATTCATTAAATGGAACAGGAGATTCAGAAATTCTCTATACTCGCACTAAAAAATAGCTTTTACACATCAGCAGTATGTATTTTTAATGAACAAAATGGATATTAATTATTCTAGTGTATTTATTTCATCGACAGATCATATCAATTTTCATTTTATGCTTTTATGTATAAATATGATGATAAAATTATTATTATTATTATTATTGTTATTATGAATTTAGCATGATTGCTATAGATACAATGCGGATGGTTTATAAAGGTGTGGTTTATTTCTCAGGCTGGCATGCAGGCAGTGAGAGAAAACCGATACGTGGTGCTGGCCAAGGACTTTGAGAAGGGATACAAGAATAACATAAAGAAGGATGAACAGGATCACGAGTTCTACAAATAATGGTTTTCACTTCAACCCTAGCTAGATGACTGGTCTTGACTAGATCTAAGAACTTTTTGAAGATTTCTTTTTCGAGTGTCACTGTTAAACTTTAACGTTTTACAATGTTTATGATAACTGGAATGATGTGTCATAGCAAAGATTTTTTGTTGGCTAAGACAGAGGACTGTTATAAGTACTTGATGGTGACAAAGTGGAAATTGGGAAATCCTCAACTTTTTCTAACGTTATTTCTGAAATTCCTTTCTGATTCAATAATTCATTCCACTAAGATGTTTCTCCAAGGTAATCTTCAGAATTTGTTTAGGCATTTTACACCATTACAAATGCTCTAGCATTTAACATCTAACATTTAACAAGAGAGCATTCTAAGCATGTCGCAAGGATTGGTTAAGTAGGGAAAAAGGTTAGATATATTTGTGAAAACATAAGGAATGTGAACTGTTACTGGCCTTATCACAATAAAAGAAGATTGGTCATACCAGTTGTACAGTTTGCATAATTATTTATATTCAACTATTCAACATATCCTTTAACAACACTATGAACAAAAAATAGTTACGGTTTAAGGGGGATGTTACTTTCTGGTCCCTAAAAATGAACAAAATGATTTCATGTCCTTTACAGTTATTTTCCTTAAGGGATCGAATTGTTCATAAATTAGCTGCTAATGATTAGAAATTATCGTTTCATTAATTTTTAGGCCTTAGAAAATGGACAGATGTCCCCCTTTAAAAAACCTGATCATTCAGAGATGTGGTCAAATGTTATGAGATGTGATTATACTGGTGATTTGATATTTTCCTTGCATATATGATGTGGCTGTTCTGAGGTTTTTTTCTAAATCTGATTTTTTTTTTTTTTTTTTTTTTTTTTTTTTTTTTTTTTTTTTTTTTTGGAGTTTGAACTATATAACAATGTACTTATGACCCTTATTTCAAATTTTAAGTCATTTGATATTGAAAAAAAAATCAGATAAAAAAAATTTGAATTACATTAAGATGTAAATTATCCAACCACAATTCCATCTTATTGCTCTGTTATAATATTACGTGAGCTTAATGAAAACTCTGAAAAGAAACTTAAAATCTTGTTAACAAGGTCTTTTAATTTATAACCAGGTGCCCAAAAATGTTACTATTTAACGGATGGGGGAGAGAGGGGGTGCAAAATTTTTTACTGTGTTTATTGATAATTGATTGTGGATTTAATTCAGTGGGTGGCTAATTGTTTTGGAGCAATATCCATGTTTTTCAAATGCAAGCCTGTCATTCTGTTTGGAAAAAAGTTAGCCTCTGATGTTCTATAAGTGATTTCTTTAACTGTTATTTTGCTTTTGTCTGTGTATGATTAAAAAAATGCGAGTTTGGAAATATAATATTCCAAACTCACCCATTTTTAAAAGCAACAGTACAGAGATTAGCGATTAGAGAATGAATGTTTGATTTGAACTAGATAAATGATTTATTGGCAACAATTTCGGTGATGTTGAGGTACACAGACCATGCGTTCTACATCATACCCTGTGAGTTAAACTGAAAAAAAAGTTGGGTGAAATTTGCAATAAATTATGGCCCTTGATTTTGCACCAAGCCCAGGATGGGTGCTTTAGATTATTATTTTAACGTTAGTCATTTTCATATCGATAAAAACTACTACTCGATTTGAACAATGTTAACCTTCCGAATTGTTTACTTTTTTAAAAGTGTATTAGTGTTGGTAATAGTATTATCCAATCAGAATGTTGCTACATCGTAAGTGCCCCGCTCGGCACGTTGATGATGTCTGTTCGTCTCGCTGCACAACATCGGCAGTTGCGAAGCGAACAGATTGAAATTAAGTGTGTACATAACTCGATGTTCTAACACTGACATGACCTAAAAAACAACAGTCGAAGAGCGTAGAACCAGCAGATTACGCTGCCATATTGTCATGGTTGTAGGCAAGTGCGAAACACGTTAATAATACTCGGGTAGGTGTAGAGCCTCGAACGCTGCGTCGTCCCTCTTCCCCTAACTAGCACAAGTTCTAAAGTTACGTTGAAGTTTACACACCGCCTTTGCTTAACTTGCCCCAAGTCTTTGCGTAATCCCTTTATGCAGACATGTGCAGTCCTACTTTTTGTATGTTTGAATAAGAACATGCGATGACCCCATTTTTTTTCAGATGCATTATATTACTTAGGGGCACATGCGAACTGAGAGGGGATGCAGCAACCGATTCCATCGGCCCCCGGCATCAGCAACACGGGGCCACCGCGGTAAGTGATTTCACTGCCTTAACTAGCCGGCGGCCTTTTAACAAAAGATGACCACGGCTGCGTGAAATTAATAGGTTATTGCCCTCTAATGTGTTTGTTACCCGCTACAGGTAACTGGCTTACCTTAAGGCTTGTTTCTTTCCATACTTCAGACTACTTTCTGTTATTAGAGGCCCATGAAAGGGGTGCTTGTGGGGGTAAAAGGCATGTGCAACAAACCTTGGGTAGTTATATGTCTCATGACATCTGAAAGTTTTATGTCATAGGTCTAATCATATTAAAATTTTGGTTTTAATTTTAATTTTATTTTTTAGTCTTCACCATGCATTTGTTAAAATGTCAACTTAAAGTTACATGTATTGTTCTAATTTCTCCGTTTATTGGGTTAACTATATTTCATGACCTGTCATGCATTCAGACATAAGAATTTGATTAGTGTTCAACATGTTTTCAGGGTAATTGGTAATAAAAGAATGAATCCACTGGTTTTGTAGGGAATGTTTTTTATTTGTCCTTATCTTTTGCATTTATCCTTATCCTATACAGCAAAGTTATCTTTTTTATCCTTTGGAGAAGGTGGCAAGTTGATATCACTTGCCATTAATGTATACTTGCCAGTTTGAAGATATGATTATGTGGACTAGGTAGACAATTGTATGGTTGTCAAAAACAATTGTCTCTTCGTAGAAAAAAGGGTTTTATGTACAAATATATTGGTACTTATATCACATTTGTTTGCAGGCTTTTCCAAAATTGTGTGCATAGCCAAACCATGTCAACATCTAGTTATTCAACAAGGAAACAATACTGTTATCATAATGTAATATATATGTTTGATGGACTCACACATGTAGACTCAGTTGAATGTTTTGATATAACTGCTTAACACATCTGGAGGCTCAGTCTTCAGGGGAAAAACGTGTATTTTTGTATTTCATATGTGTCAGTGTGTGTGAACGTGTGTGTGTGTTTAACTTACTACGATGACATAAAAAGGAAGGCTGCTGGTAATCCAAATTTTATTTTAATATGGCATAAAGTTATGTGAGAAATGTTTTTTTTTTTCTCAAAGGGAACCTTATATCTCAGAACAGCACTTCTGTTAAATACATAGACTTTGATGTATCCATGGTTTGTTCTATTTGTCTACAAAAAATGGTAATATATATATATATATTTGTGCTAGGTTGATAAATGCTTAAAAAGGTTATAATCAAATGTCCCTGTGCTCTTGACTGAACTCCCATTTTTGCTGTGTTATTTGATGCATTTCAATTTAAAATTAAAGATATCTCGGCATTAAACAAGACACCAACGTTGACCCCAGCTGTTACATAACTGAGTAATTATTGTTAGTTGTAACAGAGTTTTAAATACTTGTTAATGAAACAGAAGCATATGTTCTAATCTGCAATTGTTCTCAATAACATATTAAATTTTTAATGTCTTATTTTAATTTATGTATTTGAGATAAAATTAGTGACACAGTTGTAATTTAGCAGCAGGTTTAGAAAACTTTATACTAACATTTTGATCTAAACAGATGAAGTTTTCCAAATTAAACAATAATTAAGTAGTAGAGTATCAGGAAAACAAAGGAATAGACTTCTTGACTTGGTAATGTGTAAAAAAAAAAGGTATTAAAAGCAGTATTGTATAGATAAAAAGTCCCATGCTTGTTGAGCTTGATATTATTCCCATTAACTCACAGGTTAAAAGATGAAAACTTCAAAGTAGACATACTATTATATATTAATCAAGTTGAACAGGACAGAAAAATAATAATTTGTTTTGTTCATGCTGTAATCTTCAAATCCAATTAAACCAAAAATGAATAAACTAGTCAAGTAATGAATGGGTGTATAGTAACAGCAAAGCCCATTTGTAAAGAAATTATTTATAGTACAAATTCGTAGAGCTTTTATATGTAGTTGTGTAAATGTGGGAAGAATACAGGGAATTTACATGTGTACATGGCAAGCATTCACCACAAACAAATTTTCTGTACATGGGATCTAAGTGTATCTTGGTGTTCCACCCCTATCATTTGCCGTGTACATATAGAGTACACTGTAAAACCATTAGATACAAAAAGTAGTAATGAACATTTAGTATACTTGCTAAAAAAATGTAAAAAAAAAAAAAAAAAAAAAAAAGATTTCAGGGATTAAACACAATAGGACAAGAACTGAGGCCAGATATGTTTGCAAGAATAAAGATATGTACACATGTATATAAATTGCTGGGTTAAATGCATACTTTATTCGCAGACTAAAATAACTCAGAAATAAACCGTTATATTTTAATAAATGTCCACTGCATGTTGCATTTTGCCATTGCTTTGGCACATAGAAATTTGGTCTCCATGGCATTTGTAGAGGTTGGAAGGTTTTGATTACTAAAAAAAATCCATTTTAATTTATTAAGTCACCAACCATATAATTTTATGGTGGTGCCTTTAGCACATAGAAATGTGGACTTGATACTTGATTAGTAACTTCCCTGTGACGCTAATTTGAAAAGGCATAGTTATTAATAAGTGTTTATATGTTGAGTGATCAGAGTATAGTTGTGTTCTTCTGATGCTTGTCATTCATAACGTTATCATGATTGCAGGAGAAGAAAGCAGACTGAATGAAAATAAGAAAAAAAAATAACATGTATAGTAGAAGCCACATTATTCAGATGCTTTGGGACTAGGAAATTTATTCACGTTACGCAAGGGTTGGAGTAATTCAGTATTAATAAAAGTTTCAGCTAATGCTCTAGAGAAAAAAAAACCTGTACCACAGTATTTGTTGGAGATAAACAATGATTGGAGCTATAGGGTGACAAGTAATGTAGAGTCTGCTTATCTGGTGCCTGGATACCAATGAATGATAAAAAACATAGGATGAAATACACCTAAATGTAGATGTTTTAGTATCAGTTTGTAACCGTATCAGCCCAAGTCACACATCAACTCAAGTTCAATTGTAAAGAAGCACAACATATGTCAATGAACATGTACATTGCACGGGTGAAGTCTCGTCTGAAATGTGTATGTTTTAATGTCTGCCAGGCACATGTGCACAGTGTAGTTTATGTTACAACCTATATGTGTTTCCCTGCATGTGATGATTTATATGAATAACATGTGGGAAGTCTTTTTAGGTCACAGTCTGTTATGCAATCTGCTATAATTCAGTGCAGCATGAAAGCACCTGTTCCATGCATATAGCACCTCCCTGCTAATCACTGTATATCGTAGTAATTTTTGTAATTAGAGAGTGTGACAGTAAGGTGAAGAAATAAAGTCAAGTACTATTCACAGCTGATGGTGCAGATATTGAACTGGCTGTGACATTTAGCATTTGATTTGTCTTAGTTTTATTTCAAATTGTCACGCAGATTATGCTTTATTATTCTGTTTGCAGAATAAGATACTTGATTGTGTTAGAATTAAGTTTTTTTAGTTTTTTTGATTGATGGCATTCGCAGAATATAGGGATATACAGTTAAGTAAAATTAATAAAATATAAGTAAAATATAAGTAAACATTATTTTTAAACATTTTCACACGTGAATTTTAACCATTGATGTATACTTCTATCCAAAGGATTATCCTAGAATCCATATTTTTTTTATCCTTAAATTTTTATTTCTTAAATAACAGTATAGTTGGACTTAAAAGTTTGAATAGTCCGCAACAAAGACAACACAATGTCAACATGTCTTTTCCACCCTTTGATATAAGAGTTATAATAATTATTGTTTTTGTTGTTGTTGTTGTTATTATTATTATTATTATTAGATTAAAACGTTTTTTCAAGTTACGTCTTCAGTTAATGACTATGTTTATGATGTACTGTACAGATCTTAGATCTGTCTTGGGCTCCGTTCACATGGAAAATCTATTTTCTAAAAATCTAAAATCTTTTTTCGGTATCTTGTGATCACGGTCTGTGCCCTGGATACCCCGCGGCATAATTAATGGCAGCGCAGAGAATTAATTACAGCTTTGGAAGTAACTGCCCGTAATTACGCCGTGGGGTATTCAAGGCACAGACCTAATGTTGACTATTATTAAAGAATTGAAAAAAATAGGGGATCTGAGTAGATATCTGTAGGCAGTGTAGAATCTAGATGGACTGGGGCTATTTTTACAGAAAGAAATTGAGGTTGAAGGTTGATCCTTCATAGGCCCATAGCCAGCTAATTCAAAAGGAGGTTCTTTTTCTGAAAAAGTGGACCTTTTACTATGAAATCTTCCTGTACCTAGATAAAATTTTACCCAGAGGGGACCTTTTCCCGACAAAAAGGGGAGTTCTTTTGAACCCCCCAACCCCCCCCTGGCTATGGGCCTGCTTTATGTGCCATTTTTTAAACTTTGAAAGAAAATTTTATGATAAGTGCATCTTGTACATCAGTGACCTCTGTTAGCATTGTTTCAGTGGAGAGCAGGTTTCACAATAGTCCTCAACCAGTCGTAAATTAAACTAGGCACCTGCATTATATAAAGAAAGACGTTGCTTATTTAGAACAATTATAACTCAGTGGACAAGTTTAACAGAGACAATTTGGTAATGTTCTTGGGCTGTTTTTAAAAGTTATTTAATATTCAAAGTTTGTCTTAATTTTAAAATCCCCCAAAATGGGCTTGCTTAAATTTAGGATAAATCTGTTAATAGTTCACCAGAACAAGTAAAGTAATTGGCCTTAATGTAAGACATTTATTCCTTTTTACTTATAAGTAGGGTATCACACTTTAGTGATTCATCTCAGGTCAAAGTAGGCTAGTTAAAAGTTAAGACTGACTTTCCACTAGTTCATTTGTAACACCAGCCCAGTGAAGACTTCAGATGTTCTGTCTTTTGAAGTTATAAGAATACAATGCATCTGTTATGCTAACTAGATAGAATGCCAATGTTTATCATACCTAGTCATTCCATAAAGCACCAGTAAGGAAGAGGGGGGGCCAACTGACCCCTTCCAAGGATTGGGCAGTTAAAGTGAGTTAG